TCAAAATACATAATAAATAGCACATTTTATCTCTGAAGCAGATGACTTCTCAAAAATTGTAGACCAGTGTAATTCAAAAACAACTCAGACTTGAACAAAGTTTCAGAAAATATCAACCAGTCTGGTTTTGAAAACAAGTTCCATCATGTGTCTTGTCTGTCTTTGACTTTCTGACATTTAAACTAAATTTTGTTTGAGTGCTCTGGCCCTCAATGAGGGCTGGTTCTCCCAATAGAGAATAAATCATTAGTTCAGAGGTCAGCCTTATCTGCTTTTACAGTCTCCGTTCTACATGGAGGATGGATCCATTGGTTCCAGTGTCACAACAGTTCATTTAACTAACAGTGGAGACAGATACTTCATGTCTCTCCTAACCAGATTATTAAGAATTATTGAGACTAAAGGAAGACTAATGCTAACTTACAGATGGTATAAGAGATCATTGTTTAGTTTTTCCATTTAATCCAAATATACTGACATAAGCTTTTTGAAGGAATTACTCCAAATTTACTTTTTATTTTTATCTATTTTATTGTAGCTTTTTTCATAATTGTGTGATAACCCCAAACCTAGCATTTTTGTGTATCAAATATATTTTGCTTATTGCATAAGGGCTAAGTTATAATTGTGTATTTTACAAAATACAAAGAATAAAGATGCAGAGCATTCTTCAGTAATAAATATCTTGGCAAGTAGCCAGAGATTGAAGAATATGCACCATATTTGTTAAATAAGACAGGTGAGATGAAATAGCAGTCCTCATCTGTTTTTGAATTGGAGTCAACCTTGGCTGTATAGACAGAGCTAATTGTCTTCTATGTTGTTAAATAAAACACGTTCCATGGAAAACCCTCAGATAACAGGGAATTATGACAGTGTAGCATGCCTGTTCTTTATTTTTCAAGGCAGAATAGCAAGGACTCTTTCTCAGACTTACTAAGGAACTTACTAACTCACCTCCTTCCCGTGAAAAGCCTGAATTATTCAGTCTGTATTCAGGGAACTCCATAGACAACAGAAGACATGGAATTCATTCTCCCATCCATGCGTGGGCTACAGGTTTGCTTAGTAGCCATTACTCCAATCTACATATTCTGAAATTGAAATAGTGGATATAGCCTCTATGTGGTTGTGTCATGGAGATTCTCCCAAAGCCCTTTCAGGGTTGTGGTGTTAGTACAGATGTTCTTTTAAAACATTCTTTTCCTCTTTTCTTCCACAAATCATAAATAATGATTATCATATTTGTTGTTACTGTGATTACCCCTAATTTGCCCCAGCAATTGTATGTGACATAGTATGTGATATTTTATATTCATGTCTCTTCAGATTAAAGGATCTTGGTCAAATAAAAGAGGTAAAGAGAATTACAATCCATACAGTTATGGCAACATCTTTACTAATTGTTGTGCAGCGCTGTGCGGGCCCATCTCTCCAAGGTAAGAGTTACTAAAAGTAATGTTTTTGTATAGGATGAGACCACAGACTTACTGATCTAAGTTTGACTTTTGTTATCTTACTTCAGTTTGCTCAACTAAAACAGGGCTTCGTTGTACTATTTAGTGAAACTGATCTTTTTAGATGACGGATACAAGTAAGTTGCTAACTCTGTTTTATGGCTGAGTCAGCAATTAGATCTAGTAAAACAGTTAAAGTACAGGTTCATACACCTGAAACATAAATAAACTTGTTTGGTGGTTCTTTGATCTTTCATTGCAGCATTTACATCTGTTGGAAGTGAGGAACTCCAAGCAGTTAATTGTTTTCAGAAAACAGAATAATGTAATTACTCTTTTGCTTGTACCTTGTATTCCTTTTAGTTTGCGCCCACACCATCCACACAGCGAAGTTGCAGCACAGCTCTTTGGTGTGCGCTGCTGTTCACACTCCTGTAGTCCAAACAATGTAGACAAGCTGTAAGTTTAGTTTATTTAGAAGTGTATATAGTCTTGTACATAGATATTAGCTGCCAAAACCAACGTGCAGCCTATAATACACAGTGTGATCACACTACTTTCAGAATTCCAGCAAACAGATTTGTTCAAGTTCTTCACCAGACTGTTCATTTTGTGTTTCACTCACACTGTTCCCTCTGTTTTTACCTTTGTGTGTTAAAATTCTACACAAACCTATCTGAATGTAAGCCTTGTCTACACTAGTCTTCTGCTTTTAATATTTCCTATTTACTCCCCTGGGTTCAGCACTGTCTGTGATCGCTATAGTGGAGGTTCTGGTATGGGCAGAGATGCATAAGATTAGTAAAACTACTGGTAAATATTCTACACTAGTGCTCCCTTCTGTTTCTTTCATGATAATTCCTTGTTAAGTAAATTATAATAGATTCATAATTTTGGGTTTCAGCCTTTGGCAACAAATTCAGAAGCTGAATTGCAAGAGAAGATAATGTAGACACTTCAGAAGAGACACAGATGCAGAGTGCACTATGAGGGTCTTTCAATCTGTCTCTCCCTCAAGGGTTCCAAATTCTTTTTTATTTGCTAGTCAGCATCGAAATTTTACACCTGAGGTAGAAACCCAGAAATGTGCCTCTTCTCATAATCATTTTCCATGTAGAAAAGCAGTTGCAGGTAACTAATTTTCTTTTGCTATTGGTGAGTTGAGGTGAAGTCACATTTCTCAGATCTGAATTACAGGTTATATTTGAAGGTAGTGGTGATGCATTAAGATTTGATGATGTAATATTGAAACCTATTTTTATTGGGGGTGGAGAATTATTAATCAGAACAATCTTTCTAACAATCTTGTGTGTTTTTTTATTATTATTATGTAGTCTAATTGACAGAAGAGGATTTATACAGCCAGATACACCACAGCCAGCAGCACCATCAAATGGCATTACAATGTATGGGGCAACACAGTCTCAGAGCAACATGGTAGGAACCATCCCATAGTGTTGTTCATCAAGATCCCTGTGAATGTTTCCCTTCTCCGCTTTCATGTGAACTAATCAAGTAATAAACTAACTGGATACAGCTGCCACTCTGATAGGTGGAATTATTCATTATTCACTATACTGCAATAGGCTTATGCAGTAAGAAATCAAGGTTTTTATCTATATCTATACAATAATGATAGTTTTTACTCATGGACAATAGAAAAATGTGGTTTTTTTTCCTACACTTTGAAATCTATTGGCTACTGAATATACAGTGTCACTTTTACATATCCTGTTGATACCTGCCTTGTTTTGAATTGGACTATTTGGTTGTCATGGATGTACCCCGATTCATCAGTTTTGCAGAACAGAGTATCATTTGGTATCGTATTCTTCTCACATACTCTTTCTTCCTTTGCCTGTGCAGTGCAGATTTTTCTAGACTGACACATATTTATACAGGACAGGTTAACAAGAGGAGATGTTTAAGATGGGGGGTGCCTTTTGAGAAAAAGGAGGGGACTTTGAACTTCTAATGAACAACAGGCAACCTCAATACCATTTTCAGAACTTTAATAAATCTTCCAAAAATGTGCCAATGGTTCCTGTTGTTCCCCTTGATGGCAAAGGACCTCACATCAGTGCCAAGAAGAAGAGAATAAGTAGCAAAGATGCCCACTTCTGACCTCTTGTTCTTCCAGTTTGTAGATTGTGAGGATATGTTAAAGATTCATTAAATGTATGGACTCTATGCACTTTTTCTTTCCTTAAAGGGAGGGAGGGAAATAAATTCTCACCACAGCCTTCTAGCATAATTTCAGTCTTGATTTTTGACTGAAGAAAGAATACACTTCTCATTACTTTGTGAGCTTTACTATCACTTAAACTTTTATAAAGATTCTGCTATAAGATTTTAGAATTGTTTCCATTTATTGCTGCAAGGATTTAGTGGAATGGTTGTCAGTTTTCTTTATAATGTTATTTTTTTAACAAGTTTTATTATTTGTTAAAAATTGTAAAAAGTACCTTGATGACTTCAAGTACAATCACGGCATTTATCTTAAGCCTTTTGTCAGCTACCTACAGGGCAGGCCATGCTAGATCTCAGTGCAAGTTCTACTCAAGAAGATTACCTCAAACTTTAAAATCCTGGAAATATATTGAAATGTTTCAGGACACCCTCAGCCAAACTTCCTTGGACTCTGTCAGGGATTCTTATGTACAGAGGCAAATTAGCCACAGTAGCGTCATATTGTTCTGTCACTTTGGAACAATTATATAGACATAATATGGAGTCTCTTCCAGCAGATCTCTTTGATCATCCCAGTCCAGCTACGCATTTAGCCTTTGCTTTCAGCATCAAATTCTGTTAGAACTCTCTACAACAGCGGTTCTCAATCTGTGTGTTGTGGCCCCATTTTAATGGGGTCACTAGGGCTGGCTTAGACTTTCTGGGAGCCAGGGCCAAAGCTGAAGCCCGAGCTCCACTGCCCAGGCCGAAGCCCACTTCTGGGGTCATGTAGTAATTTTTGTTGTTAGAAGGTGGTCGTGGTGCAGTGAAGTTTGAGAACCCCTGCTCTACAACATAGATATGCCCATACTATCGTTTATATGCTTCAATGCATGTGCCTAATTAAATTCACTAATACAGTCATATTTGTGCACCTGGGACCCTTGAAGCTGGTGAAGTCACTGTGACACACAGGTTTTCTAAGAACAGAATTCTCATCACCTACCAGATATTCCTGATCAAATAGCCTGTCAACAGACTGACTTTGCAGCTTTTGTATCTCTGGAAAAGTGGAAAGATCTTGCAACATTGATCATGAAATGTACTGAGATGATCAAATGTAAAGGGGGAATTGAGTCAAACCAGTGCATGCTGCTGAATAAAGAGTGATGTATGTAGGCACACAGTAGTCTAGCTTTAGGTACTGGAATTAGATTTTCAAATGCTCTAGGACTTGCCTCGTGATGGAATGAATTTCAGTGGACCTGAGGTGGGAAAAACCTTGGATGAAGATAAGCCACAGAAGAGAGCATAGTCACTTTGAACCCTTTATGACAACTGTCCAGCCTTCATGCCTGAAAATGACTTCACAGGGGACACTTGGAAAATTGAATAGGACATGTGTTTACATATAGAAATATTTTTAAGAGTCTCTGACATCTTGTTTCTCAAGATGCTATACCTTCCAGTCCTAGAACTTATAGGCCAAAGACGCACACCTCCACACATCATATATGTTATGGGCAGATTTTCAAAATGGGAGAAAGGTGCCTGCCTTTAATTGGCTTCCAGTAGGAGTTAAGTGCCTACATGACGTTTGAACCTCCAAAAATCTCCCCTGAGTTTTGTTGAGCTGTTCAGTATCCTGATCTTTTGCACAGGGTCATATCTCTTACCTATCCAAAATTGTTCATTTTGTATACTTAACATAGTTCAGAAGAGGGTTCTTAACTTCCTTTCTTTAGCCAGTCTAATAGTCTAGTGACAGAGCATATCTTTGTTGCTCCTCACAGCTCCTTTTCCAACCTTCCCTCACATTCCATGCTGTCAGTTGCATGTTCTCATACTTTCCAGTGGACCCCTCTCGTGACCTCAGGCTCCTCCTCAGGTGAGCCTGGCTTACTTGACAATGCAAGGGACTGAACTAGATAACCTATTGAGGTCCCTTCTAGTCCAACATTTCTATGATTCTGTGATAGTCCCATTCCATCTTTAAGCTGCATTAAAAAATCATCCTCATTCATATCCTGGACCTTGGGCTCTGCCACGTTACAAGTCTTTTCCCTTCCTATCACCTTCAGTTAGCCTTGCTGCTAGCTCTGAGTTCTTTTCCAGTTAGGATTCCAGCAGCCTGTCTTCAGCTATCTGCCAAGTCCTGTCTTTCTCCTAGATACAAACTCCCCCAGAACCCTCAAATATCCACTCTTCAGTTTTTTCATAGATTCCAAGGCCAGAAGGGAACCCTGTGATCAGCTAGTATAATACAAGCTATAGGACTTCCCCAAAATAATTCCTAGAGTATATCTTTGCAGTTGTCTTACAGGCTGCTTTTGCTATAACGCAGTGACAGCTTGCTTACCTAGCAGCAGTTGCTAAGTAGGTAGGGCATGACCCCGAACTCACTCTGGAAGCATCAATTTATCCTGAATTTCTGTGATGTTTTTACTGTTGTGTAAGTACCGCTAAACAGCAGATAGAATGAGACCTTCTCCATTGGTAACTGACATTCCCTCTAGTTCTTATTTTTGTTGTAGGAGAACTGCTAATACTATAGTTACCACTGCTGACAGCTAGTGGAGATTTTTTTGTGTGTCAAGTGGTGAAGGCCTATGCCATCTGCAGCATAGCATAGCAAGCGCCGCCCCCGCAGCTCCCATTGGCTAGTTCCTGGCCAATGGGAGTTGCGGGGACGGTGCTGGGGGTTGGGGGGCAGTGCATGGAGCCGCCTCCCGTTCTGCCAGGGGCCGCAGAGACGTGCCAGCAGCCAGCCACTTCCAGGAGTGGCATGGGGCCATGGCATGCAGGCAGCCTGCCTGAGCCCTGCTGCGCTGCTGGACTTTTAGCGGCCCGGAGAGCGTGATCGACTGGCAGAGGCTCCAGTATCAACCAGTTGATTGCGATTGACGGGTTGCTGACTACTGAATTGTATATAATTATGGATTTATTTTTGCGGAACCCCCCCTTAGTCTGAGGCCCTGTGCTGCAGCCCTGAAAGCCCCAGCGTTAATCCGGCCCTGCTCAAGACACAGCTATTAATAGAATTAGTGAATTTGACAATATTGGAGAAGTACATGGAGAGTCTGCCTGGAAGGGTACAGATTTCATTGCATCAGATTTTTGGCTATCCTTACTGGCAAAGGCTATGCATCAGAGAGAAGACTATCTAGAGAAATACCCTTTGGAGAGATCACCAAAGACATGGCTATCTCCTAAATATGAGAGCTGCTCTCCACAGAGCTACGGCCAGATGGTCCTGGAGGGACAACCAAGCTGAGAGAAGAAGCTTAGGCTAAGTCATGTGTTTGTGGTGGAGTTGTTAGTTTATTAAAAAAAAAAAATCCTATCCTAGGACTGGAGGTTATGTTTGGGCACTAGCCCTGCATCTGTGACTTCAGTTGAGGACATGGTCAGGGCTCAGCCCATTTACATGCAGCCATGGATCATTGTGCTATTCTACAATAATTACCAGTGCCATTTTTAAGAGACGAATTGGTGGAAACCTGGATCTAGTATAGCTCATTGTCCCAATATCGCTCTAAATTTGCCTTAATTTCAGGGCATTAATTCTAATTAACGCATTGACCTAAAATATTCTTCTCTGTTCTTGAACATTTATGGGCAGGGGTTTTTTTATGATCCTCTTTAGTCACATTTAGCTGCACATTTTGCTCTTCCTGTGGGCTTAACTTTATGTACCCTGAGTGCCATTGAACTCAGTAGGACCAATCATAGCATGTAAAGTTAAGCACTTGAGTTAGTCTTTGTAGAATCAGGCCATAAATCTTTCTGCATAAGTCAAGCCCTCTTACCCACTTTCCATTTTTTTCACCGGTCTGTCTCCCCTTCTTGTTGTTGGTCATGTTCCCAGAAGTGGATGTAAAATTCCAGGGGCAGTCCCACTAAACCATAGAGAGCACAGTTATCACTTTTCTGTGCTGCGCTATACTGTGATGCTTCTATCTATGGAACACAATCTCATTGGCCTGTTTTTGCCATGATTCAGTGATCACTCATCTAATATTCTCTGTACTATCACTTCTGTGTCTCCCTCATTATTTCTTTCCAGGTTGAATTAAAATTGACTGTTTCAGAATATTTTCCACACTGGCTTGCATCTTTCCAGGCAGAATCTCATTTTAATTCCAGCTCCTGTCTTTTAATCTTTCTAGGCTGCTTTGTTTTATATCTTCATTTCTCACAGCATCTTCTAGTTCAGTATCATTTGTGAATTTAATGTGGTGTTTGCCCTCTTCAAGATCTCATCACTG